CCACGTGTGCCCTCACCTACCCACGTGACCCTCACCTACCCACGTGACTCTCACCTACCCACGTGACACTCACCTACCCACGTGACCCTCACCTACCCACGTACCCTCACATACCCACGTGACCCTCACCTACCCACGTGACCCTCACCTACCCACGTGTGCCTCACCTACCCACGTGTACCTCACCTACCCACGTGTACCCTCACATACCCACGTGTACCCTCACCTATCCACGTGTGCCTCACCTACCCACGTGTACCCTCACATACCCACGTGTACCCTCACCTATCCACGTGTCCCTCACCTACCCACGTGTACCCCCTCACATACCCACGTGTACCCTCACCTATCCACGTGTGCCTCACCTACCCACGTGTACCCTCACCTACCCACTGACCCTCACCTACCCACGTGTACCTCACCTACCCACGTGTACCTCACCTACCCACGTGTACCTCACCTACCCACGTGTACCCTCACCTACCCACGTGACCCTCACCTACCCACGTGACCCTCACCTACCCACGTGACCCTCACCTACCCACGTGACCCTCACCTACCCACGTGTACCTCACCTACCCACGTGTACCCTCACATACCCACGTGACCCTCACCTACCCACGTGACCCTCACCTACCCACGTGTGCCTCACCTATCCACGTGTGCCTCACCTACCCACGTGACCCTCACCTACCCACGTGACCCTCACCTACCCACGTGACCCTCACCTACCCACGTGTGCCTCACCTATCCACGTGTGCCTCACCTACCCACGTGTACCTCACCTACCCACGTGTACCCTCACCTACCCACGTGTACCTCACCTACCCACGTGTACCTCACATACCCACGTGTACCTCACATACCCACGTGTACCTCACCTACCCACGTGACCCTCACCTACCCACGTGTACCTCACCTACCCACGTGTGCCTCACCTACCACGTGTACCCTCACATACCCCGTGACCCTCACCTACCCACGTGACCCTCACCTACCCACGTGTGCCTCACCTATCCACGTGTGCCTCACCTACCCACGTGACCCTCACCTACCCACGTGACCCTCACCTACCCACGTGTGCCTCACCTATCCACGTGTGCCTCACCTACCCACGTGTACCTCACCTACCCACGTGTACCCTCACATACCCACGTGACCCTCACCTACCCACGTGTACCCTCACCTACCCACGTGTACCTCACCTACCCACGTGTACCCTCACATACCCACGTGACCCTCACCTACCCACGTGTACCCTCACCTACCCACGTGACCCTCACCTACCCGTGACCCTCACCTACCCACGTGACCCTCACCTACCCACGTGTACCCTCACCTACCCACGTGACTCTCACCTACCCACGTGACCCTCACCTACCCACGTGTACCCCCCTACCCCCACGTGACTCACCTACCCACGTGACCCTCACCTACCCACGTGACCCTCACCTACCCACGTGACCCTCACCTACCCACGTGTACCCTCACCTACCCACGTGACTCTCACCTACCCACGTGACCCTCACCTACCCACGTGTACCCTCACCTACCCACGTGACCCTCACCTACCCACGTGTGCCTCACCTATCCACGTGTACCTCACCTACCCACGTGACCCTCACCTACCCACGTGTACCTCACCTACCCACGTGTACCTCACCTACCCACGTGTACCTCACATACCCACGTGTGCCTCACCTACCCACGTGTACCTCACCTACCCACGTGTACCTCACCTACCCACGTGTACCCCACCTACCCACGTGTACCACCTACCCACGTGTACCCTCACCTACCCACGTGTACCTCACCTACCCACGTGTACCCTCACCTACCCACGTGTACCTCACCTACCCACGTGTACCCTCACCTATCCACGTGTGCCTCACCTACCCACGTGACCCTCACCTACCCACGTGACCCTCACCTACCCACGTGTACCTCACCTACCCACGTGTACCTCACCTACCCACGTGTACCTCACCTACCCACGTGTACCCTCACCTACCCACGTGTACCTCACCTACCCACGTGTACCCTCACCTACCCACGTGTACCTCACCTACCCACGTGTACCCTCACCTATCCACGTGCCTCACCTACCCACGTGACCCTCACCTACCCACGTGACCCTCACCTACCCACGTGTACCTCACCTACCCACGTGTACCTCACCTACCCACGTGACCCTCACCTACCCACGTGTACCCACCTACCCACGTGTACCTCACCTACCCACGTGTACCTCACCTACCCACGTGTACCTCACCTACCCACGTGTACCCTCACCTACCCACGTGTACCTCACCTACCCACGTGTACCTCACCTACCCACGTGTACCTCACCTACCCACGTGTACCCTCACCTACCCACGTGTACCTCACCTACCCAAGGTGTACCCTCACCTACCCACGTGTACCCTCACCTACCCACGTGACCCTCACCTACCCACGTGCCCTCACCTACCCACGTGACCCTCACCTACCCACGTGTGCCCTCACCTACCCACGTGACCCTCACCTACCCACGTGACCCTCACCTACCCACGTGTGCCTCACCTACCCACGTGTACCCTCACCTACCCACGTGTACCCTCACCTACCCAAGGTGTACCCTCACCTACCCACGTGTACCCCACCTACCCAAGGTGTACCCTCACCTACCCACGTGTACCTCACCTACCCACGTGTACCCTCACATACCCACGTGTACCTCACCTACCCACGTGTACCTCACCTACCCACGTGTACCTCACCTACCCACGTGACCCTCACCTACCCACGTGACCCTCACCTACCCACGTGACCCTCACCTACCCATGTGACCCTCACCTACCCACGTGACCCTCACCTACCCACGTGACCCTTACCTACCCACGTGTACCCTCACCTACCCACGTGACCCTTACCTACCCACGTGTACCCTCACCTACCCACGTGACCCTCACCTACCCACGTGACCCTCACCTACCCACGTGACCCTCACCTACCCACGTGACCCTTACCTACCCACGTGTACCCTCACCTACCCACGTGACCCTTACCTACCCACGTGTACCCTCACCTACCCACGTGTACCCTCACCTACCCACGTGTACCCTCACCTACCCAAGGTGTACCCTCACCCACCCACGTGTATCTCACCTACCCACGTGTATCTCACCTACCCACGTGTACCTCACCTACCCACGTGTACCTCACCTACTCAAGGTGTACCGTCACCTTCCGCAAGATCCTTGCATGGACTGCCTTTGACTCTTATCACCTCCCCGTGTAGTCAGGGTCGGAATCGAACCCACGAACTCCTGCGTACCAGGCGAGGTAGTCAACATCTCATAGCCACCGTGATGATGATGATGATGATGGGAGAGAGACAAACTCCAACTATACAGCAGCAGCAGCAACAGGCGTTGTCAGGGTCGGGATCGAACCCACGACCTCCTGCGTACCAGGCGAGGTAGTCAACATCTAGCCACCGTGATGATGAGAGAGAAGCAGACTCTAAATATACAGCAGCGGGCGTCAGGGTCGGGATCAAACCCACGACCTCCTGTACACCAGGCGAGGTAGTCAACATCTCCTCGCCACCAGTGTGATGATGATGGGAGAGACGCAGACTCCAACTATACAGCAGCAGCAGGTGTCGTCAGGGTCGGGATGGAACCCACGACCTCCTGTGTACCAGGCGAGGTAGTCAACATCTCCTAGCCACCGTGATGATGATGATAGACGCAGACTCCAAAACCTACTACAGACAGCAGGCGTCTCATCAGGATTGGGATGGAACCCACGACCTGTTTCCTGTGTAACCAAGGCGAGGTAGGTCACACATATTCTATAGCCCACCGTGATGATGATGAGAGAGAGAGACGCAGACTCCAACTATACAACAGCAGGCGTCGTCAGGATCGGGATCGAACCCACGACCTACTGCGTACCAGGCGAGGTAGTTAACATCTAGCCACCGTGATGATGAGAGAGAGACGCAGACTCCAAATACACAGCAGGTGTCAGGGTCAGGATCGAACCCACGACCTACTGCGTACCAGGCGAGGTAGTCAACATCTAGCCACCGTGATGATGATGGGAGAGAGAGACGCAGACTCCAAATCTACAGCAGGTGTCGTCAGGGTCGGGATTGAACCCACGACCTCCTCCGTACCAGGCGAGGTAGTCAACATCTCCTAGCCACCGTAATGATGATGGGAGAGACGCAGACTCCAACTATACAGCAGCAGCAGGTGTCGTCAGGGTCGGGATCGAACCCACGACCTCCTGCGTACCAGGCGAGGTAGTTAACATCTCCCAGCCACCGTGATGATGATGAGAGACGCAGACTCCAAATATACAGCAGGTGTCGTCAGGGTCGGGATCGAACCCACGACCTCCTGTAGACCAGGAGAGGTAATCAACATCTAGCCACTGTGATGATGATGAGAGAGAGAGACGCAGACTCCAACTATACAGCAGCAGCAGGCATCGTCAGGATCGGGATCGAACCCACGACCTACTGCGTACCAGGCGAGGTAGTTAACATCTAGCCACCGTGATGATGAGAGAGAGACGCAGACTCCAAATCTACAGCAGGTGTCGTCAGGGTCGGGATTGAACCCACGACCTCCTCCGTACCAGGTGAGGTAGTCAACATCTCCTAGCCACCGTAATGATGATGGGAGAGACGCAGACTCCAACTATACAGCAGCAGCAGGTGTCGTCAGGGTCGGGATCGAACCCACGACCTCCTGCGTACCAGGCGAGGTAGTCAACATCTAGCCACCGTGATGATGAGAGAGAAGCAGACTCTAAATCTCCAGCAGCTGGCGTCAGGGTCGGGATCAAACCCACGACCTCCTGTACACCAGGCGAGGTAGTCAACATCTCCTCGCCACCGTGATGATGATGATGGGAGAGAGACGCAGACTCCAACTATACAACAGCAGGCGTCGTCAGGATCGGGATCGAACCCACGACCTACTGCGTACCAGGCGAGGTAGTTAACATCTAGCCACCGTGATGATGAGAGAGAGACGCAGACTCCAAATCTACAGCAGGTGTCAGGGTCAGGATCAAACCCACGACCTCCTGCGTACCAGGCGAGGTAGTTAACATCTAGCCACCGTGATGATGATGGGAGAGAGAGACGCAGACTCCAACTATACAGCAGCAGCAGGCGTCGTCAGGGTCGGGATGGAACCCACGACCTCCTGTACACCAGGCGAGGTAGTCAACATCTAGCCACCGTGATGATGATGAGACGCAGACTCCAACTATACAGCAGCAGGCGTCATCAGGATTGGGATGGAACCCACGACCTCCTGTACACCAGGCGAGGTAGTCAACATCTCCTAGCCACCATGATGATGATGATGAGAGAGACGCAGACTCCAAATACACAGCAGCAGGCATCGTCAGGATCGGGATCGAACCCACGACCTACTGCGTACCAGGCGAGGTAGTTAACATCTAGCCACCGTGATGATGAGAGAGAGACGCAGACTCCAAATCTACAGCAGGTGTCAGGGTCAGGATCGAACCCACGACCTCCTGCGTACCAGGCGAGGTAGTTAACATCTCCCAGCCACCGTGATGATGATGGGAGAGAGAGACGCAGACTCCAAATCTACAGCAGGTGTCGTCAGGGTCGGGATTGAACCCACGACCTCCTCCGTACCAGGCGAGGTAGTCAACATCTCCTAGCCACCGTAATGATGATGGGAGAGACGCAGACTCCAACTATACAGCAGCAGCAGGTGTCGTCAGGGTCGGGATCGAACCCACGACCTCCTGCGTACCAGGCGAGGTAGTTAACATCTCCCAACCACCGTGATGATGATGAGAGACGCAGACTCCAAATATACAGCAGCTGGCGTCAGGGTCGGGATCGAACCCACGACCTCCTGTACACCAGGCGAGGTAATCAACATCTAGCCACCGTGATGATGATGATGGGAGAGAGACGCAGACTCCAACTATACAGCAGCAGCAACAGGCGTCAGGGTAGGGATCGAACCCACGACCTCCTGCGTACCAGGCGAGGTAGTCAACATCTAGCCACCGTGATGATGATGAGAGAGAGACGCAGACTGCAAATCTACAGCAGGTGTCGTCACGGTCGGGATTGAACCCACGACCTCCTCCGTACCAGGCGAGATAGTCAACATCTCCTAGCCACCGTAATGATGATGAGAGAGACGCAGACTCCAAATATACAGCAGGTGTCGTCAGGGTCGGGATTGAACCCACGACCTCCTGCGTACCACGCGAGGTAGTCAACATCTAGCCATGATGATGATGAGAGAGACGCAGACTCCAAATATACAGCAGCAGCAGGCGTCGTCAGGATCGGGATCGAACCCACGACCTCCTGCATACCAGGCGAGGTAGTCAACATCTCCTAGCCACCGTGATGATGAGAGAAAAACGCAAACTCCAAATATACAGCAGCAGGTGTCGTCAGGGTCGGGATCATTATCAGAGGTTTTTTGTTTGCATTCCGACCGCAGGTATTGTGGTCAATGCAAACATGACTCCTTGTAAAAAAAGTTGTCAGTTTTGTTGCCAGATAAAAGGGTAAAAAAAACGATCATATTTCGCTACTGGCAAAGGAGGTTCCAATGGAGTGGTACTACAGCAGAGGTCGCAACCGGGTACCCGATAGCCGACTACCCGGCCGGGTACGGGTACCCGTCTGCGACCCTGGTGCGGCCGGGTACGGGTAGGCCGTGAGTCACTGGTGAGTCACCGTTTGTCACTAATTTCCCAACGTCTTGTCTCTTCTCACAATTCAAGTTTCTAGAATCAACCCACCCGCGCCTGCAACATGGCTTCATCCCAGAGGTCGCAATCAGGTACCTGTACCTGGCCGGGTACGGGTACCCGTTTGCGACCTGGTGCGGCCGGGTACGGGTAAGGAATCAAAACCCGTTTGCGACCTCTGTGCTACAGTTCAGAGTTACCAATGCATTTCTAACCACAAGGCCCTCTGCCTCACAACCCTAGGCCTAACAAAATGGCCACCCACCAAAAGCCTACCCCTTCCACGCTGCCGCCGCTGCTTCTCCTGCTGCTGCTGCCCTCCCTGAGCCTCGGCGTCGGGGGAGACGGCCCAGGCGAGGGTGGGGGGCCCGAGAAAGCGTCGGTGGTGTCCACGGGGCATTGCGTTCGCTGCTGTGGCTCCGGGACGCCGCCACCCATTCAACTCAATCTGGCCATCCTGCGGGGTAAGGCTACTGTGAATGCGTGTGTGTAATAACACGCTGGAGCCGGCTTGTGGAATCGGTCCTTTTATTTCACTTCTTGCAGTTCACAAACACTCCCCGTTGCTGGCAGGCAACGGGAAGCGGGCAGACAGCCACCAGAGACACAGCGCCGCGTGGCACCCGGAGCCCCACTCGCGCGTGTCCTCTCTCTTCGTTCCTTGTCTGACCCCGTGTCTCTCCTCTCTCTCCTTATTTAACGCCTGGGTCACGTGGTACACTCAAGCCAATCCTCAATAACCTGCGCCGAATGTTCCAGATCCCCCCCCATCAACTCCCGGGACCACGCCCCTGACTTGTCTTCCCATTGGCTGAGGCCAAGACCAGCAGAACCAATCACCCGAGCTGACATCCCGTGATCACGCCGAGGCCTTGCTCCCAGGCTCTCCCCCCATTGGCTGTAAAGCGGGACCGGCAAAGCCGATCACCACGTGAGTCCGACATAGGCTCTTATTACATTTGCATTGACCACCATGGGGAGCGGTGGTGCAGCGGTTAGCGCTACGCTGCGCTATGAACCCGGCAACCCGAGTTCGATTCCTGCTCACGGCCAACACCACCAGTGACGATTATCTGAACCGGTCCCGGGCCTCCCCTAGGTCGACTCAGCCTCAAATGAGTACCTGGTGTGGTGTGCAGTAAACATCGTCGCTGGGGAGACAAAGGCGGTCGGGCGTGGTGCTGGCCACCTACCCCCTCGTGTGCCGTTGCGGCCTTCATAGGTGCTCGCTAACAGCACTTGCCCCTACAGTGTGTTAAGGCTATATGGGGGATCTTTGTCTTTTGTAGCGTGTGCAGGGGGCAGCCTCTACTTACGGACATTCGACTTAAGAACTTTCAGAGATACGAACAAAACCTGTCCCCCCCACGTACGTCCGGTTTGAGTCATAAGTTCAAACGCCCCGCGCAATTGATGGCGGTGGTAGTACCTACATCTGCAGAACGTGAAGAACCAGTGGCATCTACATCTGCAGAACGTGAAGAACCAGTGGCATCTACACCTGCAGAACGTGAAGAACCAGTGGCATCTACATCTGCAGAACGTGAAGAACCAGTGGGATCTACATCTGCAGAACGCGAAGAACCAGTGTCATCTACACCTGCAGAACGTGAAGAACTAGTGGCATCTACATCTGCAGAACGTGAAGAACCAGTGGGATCTACATCTGCAGAACGCGAAGAACCAGTGGCATCTACATCTGCAGAACGCGAAGAACCAGTGGGATCTACATCTGCAGAACGTGAAGAACCAGTGGCATCTACACCTGCAGAACGTGAAGAACCAGTGGCATCTACATCTGCAGAACGTGAAGAACCAGTGGCATCTACATCTGCAGAACGTGAAGAACCAGTGGCATCTACATCTGCAGAACGTGAAGAACCAGTGGCATCTACATCTGCAGAACGTGAAGAACCAGTGGCATCTACATCTGCAGAACGTGAAGAACCAGTGGCATCTACATCTGCAGAACGTGAAGAACCAGTGGCATCTACATCTGCAGAACGTGAAGAACCAGTGGCATCTACATCTGCAGAACGTGAAGAACCAGTGGCATCTGCAGAACGTGAAGAACCAGTGGCATCTACATCTGCAGAACGTGAAGAACCAGTGGCATCTGCAGAACGTGAAGAACCAGTGGCATCTACATCTGCAGAACGTGAAGAACCAGTGGCATCTACATCTGCAGAACGTGAAGAACCAGTGGCATCTGCAGAACGTGAAGAACCAGTGGCATCTACATCTGCAGAACGTGAAGACCAGTGGCATCTACATCTGCAGAACCAGTGGCATCTACATCTGCAGAACGTGAAGAACCAGTGGCATCTACATCTGCAGAACAAGAAGAACCAGTGGCATCTACATCTGCAGAACCAGTGGCATCTACATCTGCAGAACGTGAAGAACCAGTGGCATCTACATCTGCAGAACGTGAAGAACCAGTGGCATCTACATCTGCAGAACGTGAAGAACCAGTGGCATCTACATCTGCAGAACGTGAAGAACCAGTGGCATCTACATCTGCAGAACGTGAAGAACCAGTGGCATCTACATCTGCAGAACGTGAAGAACCAGTGGCATCTACATCTGCAGAACGTGAAGAACCAGTGGCATCTACATCTGCAGAACGTGAAGAACCAGTGGCATCTACATCTGCAGAACGTGAAGAACCAGTGGCATCTACATCTGCAGAACGTGAAGAACCAGTGGTATCTCCATCTGAAGAACCAGTGGCATCTGCAGAACGTGAAGAACCAGTGGCATCTACCTCTGCAGAACATGAAGAACCAGTGGTATCTCCATCTGAAGAACCAGTGGCATCTGTACAAACGTGAAGAACCAGTGGCATCTACATCTGCAGACCGTGAAGAACCAGTGGCATCTACATCTGAAGAACCAGTGGCATCTACATCTGCAGAACGTGAAGAACCAGTGGCATCTACCTCTGCAGAACGTGAAGAACCAGTGGCATCTACATCTGCAGAACGTGAAGAACCAGTGGCATCTACATCTGCAGAACGTGAAGAACCAGTGGCATCTACATCTGCAGAACGTGAAGAACCAGTGGCATCTACATCTGCAGAACGTGAAGAACCAGTGGCATCTACATCTGCAGAACGTGAAGAACCAGTGGCATCTACATCTGCAGAACGTGAAGAACCAGTGGCATCTACATCTGCAGAACGTGAAGAACCAGTGGCATCTACATCTGCAGAACGTGAAGAACCAGTGGCATCTACATCTGCAGAACGTGAAGAACCAGTGGCATCTACATCTGCAGAACGTGAAGAACCAGTGGCATCTACATCTGCAGAACGTGAAGAACCAGTGGTATCTCCATCTGAAGAACCAGTGGCATCTGCAGAACGTGAAGAACCAGTGGCATCTACCTCTGCAGAACATGAAGAACCAGTGGTATCTCCATCTGAAGAACCAGTGGCATCATCTTGTAAACGTGAAGAACCAGTGGCATCTACATCTGCAGACCGTGAAGAACCAGTGGCATCTACATCTGAAGAACTAGTGGCATCTACATCTGCAGAACGTGAAGAACCAGTGGCATCTACATCTGCAGAACGTGAAGAACCAGTGGCATCTACCTATGCAGAACGTGAAGAACCAGTGGCATCTACATCTGCAGAACGTGAAGAACCAGTGGCATCTACATCTGCAGAACGTGAAGAACCAGTGGCATCTACATCTGCAGAACGTGAAGAACCAGTGGCATCTACATCTGCAGAACGTGAAGAACCAGTGGCATCTACATCTGCAGAACGTGAAGAACCAGTGGCATCTACATCTGCAGAACGTGAAGAACCAGTGGCATCTCCATCTGAAGAACCAGTGGCATCTACATCTGCAGAACGTGAAGAACCAGTGGCATCTACCTCTGCAGAACGTGAAGAACCAGTGGCATCTCCATCTGAAGAACCAGTGGCATCTACATCTACAGACGTGAAGAACCTGGCATCTACATCTGCAGAACGTGAAGAACCAGTGGCATCTACACCTGCAGAACGTGAAGAACCAGTGGCATCTACATCTGCAGAACGTGAAGAACCAGTGGCATCTACATCTGCAGAACGTGAAGAACCAGTGGCATCTACATCTGCAGAACGTGAAGAATGTGGCATCTACATCTGCAGAACGTGAAGAACCAGTGGCATCTACATCTGCAGAACGTGAAGAACCAGTGGCATCTACATCTGCAGAACGTGAAGAACCAGTGGCATCTACATCTGCAGAACGTGAAGAACCAGTGGCATCTACATCTGCAGAACGTGAAGAACCAGTGGCATCTACATAACGTGAAGAACCAGTGGCATCTACATCTGCAGAACGTGAAGAACCAGTGGCATCTACAGAACGTGAAGAACCAGTGGCATCTACATCTGCAGAACGTGAAGAACCAGTGGCATCTACATCTGCAGAACGTGAAGAACCATGGCATCTACATCTGCAAAACGTGAAGAACCAGTGGTATCTACATCTACAGAACGTGAAGAACCAGTGGCATCTACATCTGCAGAACGTGAAGAACCAGTGACATCTACATCAAACAGAACGTGAAGAACCAGTGGCATCTACATCTGTAAACGTGAAGAACCAGTGGCATCTACATCTGCAGAACGTGAAGAACCAGTGCATCTACATCTGCAGAACGTGAAGAACCAGTGGCATCTACATCTGCAGAACGTGAAGAACCAGTGGCATCTACATCTGTAGAACGTGAAGAACCAGTGGCATCTACATCTGCAGAACATGAAGAACCAGTGGCATCTACATCTGCAGAACGTGAAGAACCAGTGGCATCTACATCTGCAGAACGTGAAGAACCAGTGGCATCTACATCTGCAGAACGTGAAGAACCAGTGGGATCTACATCTGCAGAACGTGAAGAACCAGTGGCATCTACATCTGCAGAACGTGAAAAACCAGTGACATCTACATCTACAGAACGTGAAGAACCAGGAGCATCTATCTACTTCTGCAGAACGTCAAGAACCAGTGGCATCTACATCTGCAGAACATGAAGAACCAGTGGCATCTGCATCTGCAGAACGTGAAGAACGGGCGGGCGGGCGAGTGATTGGGTAATTGAGTGAGTGGATGGATGAAATGGGTGGAGGGGTGAGTGGTTGGGTGGATGAGTGAGTGGCTGGATGAGTGAGTGGCTGGATGAGTGGGTGGATGAGTGGGTGGATGAGTGGCTAGATGAGTGGGTGGATGAGGGGCTGGATGAGTGGCTGGATGAGTGGGTGGATGAGTGGGTGGATGAGTGGGTGGATGAGTGGGTGGATGAGTGAGTGGCTGGATGAGTGGGTGGATGAGGGGTTGGATGAGTGGCTGGATCAGTGGGTGGATGAGTGGCTGGATGAGTGGGTGGATGAGTGGGTGGATGAGTGAGTGGCTGGATGAGTGGCTGGACGAGTGGGTGGATGAGGGGCTGGATTAGTGGCTGGATCAGTGGCTGGATGAGTGGGTGGATGAGTGGGTGGATGAGTGAGTGGGTGGATGAGTGGCTGGATGAGTGGGTGGACGAGTGGGTGGATGAGGGGCTGGATTAGTGGCTGGATCAGTGGCTGGATGAGTGGGTGGATGAGTGAGTGGGTGGATGAGTGGGTGGATGAGTGGGTGGATGAGTGGGTGGATGAGTGGGTGGATGAGTGAGTGGCTGGATGAGTGGCTGGACGAGTGGGTGGATGAGGGGCTGGATTAGTGGCTGGACCAGTGGCTGGATGAGTGGGTGGATGAGTGAGTGGGTGGATGAGTGAGTGGCTGGATGAGTGGGTGGGCAGTTGGTTTGGGGGTTGGGTACCGCGTTGTACCATGAAGGTTAAGCGAGGGCTCGCCGTACTTCTAGTAGTCTTGGGGGTTGTACCGTACTACTCGAGTGCACCGGTGCCGTGTGTCTGTCCCGTTGCGTGCCACAGGCGACGTGGGCGAGAAGGGCAAGCACGGAGTTGGGGGTCGCAGAGGTCGTCCCGGCCGGACCGGGGTCAGGGGTCACATCGGAACCAAGGGGAACCACGGAGAGCCGGGGCCCCCCGGGATGCCCTGCAAGTGAGAGACCCCCGGCCACCCGTCCACTCGATCCTACACTCAGCCACCTGCTCACTGACTCACTCGTTCACTCACCCACCCGTTCACCGACTCACTCGTTCACTCACCCACCCGTCCACTGACTCACCCACCCGTCCACTCGATCCTACACTCAGCCACCTGCTCACTGACTCACTCGTTCACTCACCCACCCGTTCACCGACTCACTCGTTCACTCACCCACCCGTCCACTCGATCCTACACTCAGCCACCTGCTCACTGACTCACTCGTTCACTCACCCACCCGTTCACCGACTCACTCGTTCACTCACCCACCCGTTCACTCGATCCTACACTCAGCCCCTGCTCACTGACTCACCTCGTTCACTCACCCACCCGTTCACCCGACTCACTCGTTCACTCACCCAACCCGTTCACATCGATTCCTACACTCAGCCATCTGCTCACTGACTCGTTCACTCACCCACCCGTTCACCGACTCACTCGTTCACTCACCCACCCGTTCACTCGATCCTACACTCAGCCACCTGCTCACTGACTCACTCGTTCACTCACCCACCCGTTCACCGACTCACTCGTTCACTCACCCACCCGTTCACTCGATCCCTACACTCAGCCACCTGCTCACTGACTCACTCGTCACTCACCCACCCGTTCACCGACTTACTCGTTCACTCACCCACCCGTTCACTCGATCCTACACTCAGCCACCTGCTCACTGACTCACTCGTTCACTCACCCACCCGTTCACCGACTCACTCGTTCACTCACCCACCCGTTCACTCGATCCTACACTCAGCCATCTGCTCACTGACTCGTTCACTCACCCACCCGTTCACCGACTCACTCGTTCACTCACCCACCGTTCACTCGATCCTACACTCAGCCACCTGCTCACTGACTCACTCGTTCACTCACCCACCGTTCACCGACTCACTCGTTCACTCACCCACCCGTTCACTCGATCCTACACTCAGCCACCTGCTCACTGACTCACTCGTTCACTCACCCACCCGTTCACCGACTCACTCGTTCACTCACCCACCCGTTCACTCGATCCTACACTCAGCCACCTGCTCACTGACTCACTCGTTCACTCACCCACCCGTTCACCGACTCACTCGTTCACTCACCCACCTGTTCACTCGATCCTACACTCAGCCACCTGCTCACTGACTCACTCGTTCACTCACCCACCCGTTCACCGACTCATTCGTTCACTCACCCACCCGTTCATGACTCAACCACCCATCCACTCGATCCTTCACTCAGCCACCCGTTCACTGACTCACTCGTTCACTCACCCACCCGTTTCACTGACTCACCCCACCCATTCCACTCGATCCTTCACTTCAGCCACCCGTTCACTGACTCACCCACCCATCCACTCGATCCTACACTCAGCCACCTGCTCACTGACTCACTCGTTCACTCACCCACCCGTTCACCGACTCACTCGTTCACTCACCCACCCGTTCACTGACTCAACCACCCATCCACTCGATCCTTCACTCAGCCACCCGTTCACTGACTCACTCGTTCACTCACCCACCCGTTCACTCACCCACTCGTTCACTCACCCACCCGTTCACTGACTCACCCACCCGTCCACTCGATCCTTCACTCAGCCACCCGTTCACTGACTCACCCACCCATCCACTCGATCCTTCACTCAGCCACCTGCTCACTGACTCACTCGTTCACTCACCCACCCGTTCACCGACTCACTCGTTCACTCACCCACCCGTTCACTGACTCACCCACCCATCCACTCGATCCTTCACTCAGCCACCCGTTCACTGACTCACTCGTTCACTCACCCACCCATCCACTCGATCCTTCACTCAGCCACCTGCTCACTGACTCACTCGTTCACTCACCGACCCGTTCACCGACTCATTCGTTCACTCACCCACCCGTTCACTGACTCACCCACCCATCCACTCGATCCTTCACTCAGCCACCCGTTCACTGACTCACTCGTTCACTCACCCACCCGTTCACTCACCCACCCGTTCACTCACCCACTCGTTCACTCACCCACTCGTTCACTCACCCACCCGTTCACTGACTCACCCACCCATCCACTCAATCCTTCACTCAGCCACCCGTTCACTGACTCACCCACCCATCCACTCGATCCTTCACTCAGCCACCTGCTCACTGACTCACTCGTTCACTCACCCACCCGTTCACCGACTCATTCGTTCACTCACCCACCCGTTCACTGACTCACCCACCCATCCACTCGATCCTTCACTCAGCCACCCGTTCACTGACTCACTCGTTCACTCACCCACCCGTTCACTCACCCACTCGTTCACTCACCCACTCGTTCACTCACCCACCCGTTCACTGACTCACCCACCCATCCACTCGATCCTTCACTCACCCACCCATCCACTCGATCCTTCACTCAGCCACCTGCTCACTGACTCACCCACCCATCCACTCGATCCTTTACTCAGCCACCTGCTCACTGACTCACCCACCCAGCCACTCGATCCTTTACTCAGCCACCTGCTCACTGACTCACCCACCCAGCCACTCGATCCTTCACTCAGCCACCTGTTCACTGACTCACTCGTTCACTCACCCACCTGCTCACTGACTCACCCACCCATCCACTCGATCCTTCACTCACCCACCTGCTCACTGACTCACTCTTTCACTCACCCACCTGCGCACTGACTCACCCACCCATCCACTCGATCCTTCACTCAGCCACCCGTTCACTGACTCACTCGTTCACTCACCCACCTGCTCACTGACTCACCCACCCATCCACTCGATCCTTCACTCAGCCACCTGTTCACTGACTCACTCGTTCACTCACCCACCTGCTCACTGACTCACCCACCCGTCCACTCGATCCTTCACTCACCCACCTGCTCACTGACTCACTCTTTCACTCACCCACCTGCTCACTGACTCACCCACCCATCCACTCGATCCTTCACTCAGCCACCCGTTCACTGACTCACTCGTTCACTCACCCACCTGCTCACTGACTCACCCACCCGTCCACTCGATCCTTCACTCAGCCACCCGTTCACTGACTCACTCGTTCACTCACTCACCTGCTCACTGACTCACCCACCCATCCACTCGATCCTTCACTCAGCCATCCACCCACCCGTTCACCCACCCGTTCACCCACCTACCCGTTCACCCACCCACCCACCCGTTCACCCACCCACCCACCCTCCCACCCATCCACCCGTTCCCCATCCACCCGTCCATTCATCCACCCATCCACTCACCCACTCATCCACCCATCCACTCACCCACCCACCCACTCACCCACCCACCCGTCCACTCACCCCACCATCCACCCACTCACCCACCCATCCACCACTCACCCACCCATCCACCCACTCACCCACCCATCCACCCACCCATCACCCACCCACCCACCCATCCACCCACTCACCCTCCCACCCACTCACCCTCCCACCCACTCACCCGTCCACCCCACCACCCACCCATTCACCCACTTACCCTCCCACTCACCCTCCCACTCACTCACCCTCCCACTCACTCACCCTCCCACTCACTCACTCACCCTCCCACTCACTCACCCTCCCACCCACTCACCCTCCCACCCACCCCTCCCACTCACCCTCCCACTCACCCTCCCACTCACCCTCCCACCCACTCACCCTCCCACCCACTCACCCGTCACCAACCCACCCACCCACCTACCCACCCTCCCATTCACCCACTCACCCTCCCACTCACTCACCCTCCCACTCACTCACCCTCCCACCCACTCACCCTCCCACCCACCCCTCCCACTCACCCTCCCACTCACCCTCCCACCCACTCACCCGTCCACCCACCCTCCATTCACCCTTTCACCCACCCACCCACCCATCCGTCCACTCACCCACCCACCTGTCCCCATCCATCCACCCACCCACCCGTCCACTCACCCTCCCACTCACCCCCCACCCCCCCGCTACGCGGCCTTCTCGCTGGGACGACGCTCCCCGCTCCACTCGGCAAACGGCTCCGCCGCCCATCCACTCACCCTCCCACTCACTCACTCACCCGTCCACCCACCCACCCACCCTCCCATCTACCCACTCACCCTCCACCCACCCTCCCACTCAGCCTCCCACCCATCCACTCATCCTCCCACCCACCCACCCACCCTCCCACTCAGCCTCCCACCCACCCACTCATCCTCCCACCCACCCACTAACCCAATCACCCACTCACCCACAAACCAACCCCCCCACTCACCACCCACCCTCCCACTCACCCTCCCACTCACCCACCCACTCACCCTCCCACCCTCCCACTCACCCACCCACCCTCCCACTCACCCACCCACCCTCCACTCACCCACCCACTCACCCTCCCACCCTCCCACTCACCCTCTCACCCTCTCACCCTCTCACCCTCTCACCCTCCCACTCACCCATTCACCCACCCACTTACCCTCCCACCCACCCACTCACCCTCCCACCCACCCACTCACCCTCCCATCCTCCCACTCACCCATCCTCCCACCCTCCCACTCACCCACCCGTCCACCCACCCACTCACCCCCCTCCCACTCACCCACTCACCCCCTACCCCCACTCCACCCACGCCCCCCAGGCCCCGCTACGCGGCCTTCTCGCTGGGACGACGCTCCCCGCTCCACTCGGCAAACGGCTCCGCCGCGTCGCCACTGCCCTTCGACTCGGCGTCCATCGTGACCGGGGGCAGCGTCGACCTCGCCGCGGGCTCGTTCACGTGCGCAGAGGCCGGCGTCTACCACGTGACCCTCACGGTGCACACGTGGAACGCGCGCGAGACGTACGCGCACGTCATGCGGAACGGGAACCCCACCGCCGTTCTGTACGCCCAGCCCAGCGGGCGCAGCGTCATGCAGAGTCAGAGCCTGCTGCTGCCCCTGCAAGTGGGAGACAGGGTGAGTGGTGGGTGGGTGAGTGGTGAGTGAGGAGTGAGTGGTGGGTGGGTGAGTGAGTGGTGAGTGGTGGGTGGTGAGTGAGTGATGGGTGAGTGGTGGTGGTAGGCGCAGCGTCATGCAGAGCCAGAGTTTGCTACTGCCCGTGCAAGTGGGAGACAGGGTGAGTGATGGGTGGGTGGGTGGTGGTTGGGTGAGTGGTGAGTGGGTGGGTGGTGAGTGAGTGGTAGGTGAGTGAGTGGTGGGTGAGTGGTGGGTGGTGAGTGAGTGGTGGGTGGTGAGTGAGTGGTGGGTGGGTGAGTGAGTGGTGAGTGGTGGTTGGGTGGTGGGTGAGTGGTGGGTGAGTGGTGGTGGTAGGCGCAGCGTCATTCAGAGCCAGAGCCTGCTGCTGCCTTTGCAAGTGGGAGACCGGGTGAGTGGTGGGTGATGAGTGGGTGGTGAGTGGTGGGTGGGTGGTGAGTGGTGAGTGAGGAGTGAGTGGTGAGTGAGTGGTGGGTGGGTGAGTGGGTGGTGGGTGATGAGTGGTGGGTGGGTGAGTGGTGGTGGTAGGCGCAGCGTCATGCAGAGCCAGAGCCTGCTGCTGCCTTTGCAAGTGGGAGACCGGGTGAGTGGTGGGTGGTGAGTGGGTGGTGAGTGGTGGGTGAGTGGGTGAGTGGGTGGGTGAGTGGGTGAGTGAGTGAGTGGTGGTGGTAGGCGCAGCGTCATGCAGAGCCAGAGTTGCTACTGCCCGTGCAAGTGGGAGACAGGGTGAGTGGTGGGTGAGTGGGTGGTGAGTGGTGGGTGGGTGAGTGGGTGAGTGGGTGGGTGAGTGGTGGGTGGGTGGGTGAGTGAGTGGTGAGTGGGTGGGTGGGTGAGTGAGTGTGGTTGGTGGTGGGTGAGTGGTGAGTGGTGGGTGGTGGGTGAGTGAGTGGTCGGTGGGTGGTGAGTGGTGGGTGAGTGGGTGAGTGGTGGGTGAGGAGTGAGTGGTGGGTGAGTGGTGAGTGAGTGGGTGAGTGAGTGAGTGGTGGGTGGTGGTGGGTGGTGGTGAGTGGAGTGGGTGAGTGATGAGTGGTGGGTGTGGTGGGTGAAGGATGATTGGTGGGTGGTTGTGGGTGATGAGTGAGTGTGCGTGAGTGGTGGGTGAGTGAATGAAGTGGGTTATGAAGTGGTGGGTGAGTGGTGGTGGGGTGAGTGGTGGGTGAGGAGTGAGTGGTGTTGGTGGTGAGTGGTGGGTGAGTGGTGAGTGGTGAGGGTCGAGTGGCACTGGTGTGTGTGTACCCGCTGTGTGTGTGCGCACGTGTTGCTCACTGTGTGTACGTGCGGTGTGTGTGTGTACGTGCGGGTGGGTGTACGTGCGGTGGGTGTATGTACGTGCGGTGTGTGTGTTTACGTGCGTTGTGTGTGTGTAACGTGCGGTGTGTTTGTGTACGTTGCGTGGTGTGTACGTGCGTGTGTGTGGTACGTGCGGTGGTGTGTGTACGTGCGGTGGTGTGTGTGTACGTGCGGTGTGGTGTGTACGTGCGGTGTGTGTGTGTACGTGCGGTGTGGTGTGTCGGCGGATTGTGGTACGTGCGGTGTTGTGTGTGTACGTGCGGTGTGTGGTGTGTACGTGCGGTGTGTGTGTGTACGTGCGGTGTGTGTGTGTACGTGCGGTGTGTGTGTGTACGTGCGGTGTGTGTGTGTACGTGCGGTGTGTGTGTGTACGTGCGGTGTGTGTGTGTACGTGCGGTGTGTGTGTGTACGTGCGGTGTGTGTGTGTACGTGCGTGTGGTGTGTGTACGTGCGGTGGTGTGGTGTACGTGCCGGTGTGGTGTGTGTACGTGCGGTGGTCGTGTGTGTACGTGCGGTGTGTGTGTTGTACGTGCGGTGTGTGTGTGTACGTGCGGTGGTGTGTGTGTACGTGCGGTGTGTGTGTGTACGTGCGGTGTGTGTGTGTACGTGCGGTGTGTGTGTGTACGTGGCGGTGGTGTGTGTACGTGCGGTGTGTGTGTGTACGTGCGGTGGTGTGTACGTGCGGTGTGTGTGTGTACGTGCGGTGTGTGTGTACGTGCGGTGTGTGTACGTGCGGTGTGTGTGTGTACGTGCGGTGTGTGTGTGTACGTGCGGTGTGTGTGTACGTGCGGTGTGTGGTGTACGTGCGGTGTGTGTGTACGTGCGGTGTGGTGTGTACGTGCGGGTGTGTGTACGTGCGTTGTGTGTACGTGCGGGTGTGTGTGTGTACGTGCGGTGTGTGTGTGGTACGTGCGGGGTGTGTGTGTACGTGCGGTGTGTGTGTGTACGTGCGGTGTGTGTGTGTACGTGCGGGGTGTGTGTGTACGTGCGGTGTGTGTGTACGTGCGGTGTGTGTGTGTACGTGCGGGGTGTGTGTGTACGTGCGGGGTGTGTGTGTACGTGCGGTGTGTGTGTGTACGTGCGGGGTGTGGTGTACGTGCGGGGTGTGTGTGTACGTGCGGGGTGTGTGTGTACGTGCGGGGTGTGTGTGTAACGTGCGGGGTGTGTTGTACGGTGCGGTGTGTGTGTGTACGTGCGGTGTGTGTGTACGTGCGCGGTGTGTGTGTACGTGCGGGTGTGTGTGTACGTGCGGGGTGTGTGTGTACGTGCGGGGTGTGTGTGTACGTGCGCGGTGTGTGTGTACGTGCGGGGTGTGTGTGTACGTGCGGGGTGTGTGTGTACGTGCGGGGGTGTGTGTGTACGTGCGGGTGTGTGTGTGTACGTGCGGTGTGTGTGTGTACGTGCGGGGTGTTGTGTGTACGTGCGGTGTGTGTGTGTACGTGCGGGTGTGTGTGTGTACGTGCGGGTGGTGTGTGTACGTGCGGTGTGTGTGGTACGTGCGGGGTGTGTGTGTACGTGCGGGTGTGTGTGTACGTGCGGTGGTGTGTGTACGTGCGGTGTGTGTGTGTACGTGCGGTGTGGTGTGTACGTGCGGTGTGTGTGTGTACGTGCGGTGTGTGTGTGTACGTGCGGTGTGTGTGTGTACGTGCGGTGTGTGTTGTACGTGCGGTGTGTGTGTGTACGTGCGGTGTGTGTGTGTACGTGCGGGTGTGTGTGTGTACGTGCGGTGTGTGTGTGTACGTGCGGTGTGTGTGTGTACGTGCGGTGTGTGTGTGTACGTGCGGTGTGTGTGTGTACGTGCGGGGTGTGTGGTGTACGTGCCGGTGTGTGTGTGTACGTGCGGTTGTGTGTGTACGTGCGGGTGTGTGTGTGTACGTGCGGTGTGTGTACGTGCGTGTGTGTGTGTACGTGCGGTGTGTGTGTGTACGTGCGGGTGTGTGTGTGTACGTGCGGTGGTGTGTGTGTACGTGCGGTGTGTGTGTACGTGCGGTGTGTGTGTGTAACGTGCGGTGTGTGTGTACGTGCGGGTGGGTGTGTGTACGTGCGGGTGTGTGTGTACGTGCGGTGTGTGTGTACGTGCGTGTGTGTGGTACGTGCGGTGTGTTGTGGTGTACGTGCGGTGTGGACTGTACGTGCGGTGTGTGTGTGTACGTGCGGTGTGTGTGTACGTGCGGTGTGTGTGTACGTGCGGTTGTGTGTGTACGTGCGGGTGTGTGTGTACGTGCGGTGTGGGTGTGTACGTGCGGGGTGTGTGTGTACGTGCGGTGTGTGTGTACGTGCGGGTGTGTTGTGTACTTCGGTGTGGTGTGTACGTGCGGTGTGTGTGTGTACGTGCGGTGTGTGTGTGTACGTGCGGGGTGTGTGTGTACGTGCGCGTGTGTGTGTACGTGCGGTGTGTGTGTACGTGCAGGTGTGTGTGTGTACGTGCGGTGTGTGTGTACGTGCGGGCTGTGTGGTACGTGCGGGGTGTGTGTGTACGTGACGGTGTGTGTGTACGTGCTGGTGTGTGTGTGTACGTGCGGCTGTGTGTGTACGTGCGGGGTGTGTGTGTACGTGCGGTGTGTGTGTACGTGCGGTGTGTGTGTGTACGTGCGGTGTGTGTGTACGTGCGGTGTGTGTGTGTACGTGCGGTGTGTGTGTGTACGTGCGGGGTGTGTGTGTACGTGCGGTGTGTGTGGTGTACGTGCGGTGTGTGTGTGTACGTTCGGTGTGTGTGTGTACGTGCGGTGTGTGTGTTACGTCGGGGTGTGTGTGTAGTGCGGGTGTGTGGTACGTGCGGTGTGTGTTGTACCGTGCGGTGTGTGTGTGTACGTGCGGTGTGTGTGTACGTGCGGTGTGTGTGTGTACGTGCGGTGTGTGTGTGTACGTGCGGTGTGTGTGTACGTGCGGTGTGTGTGTGTACGTGCGGGGTGTGTGTGTACGTGCGGTGTGTGTGTGTACGTGCGGTGTGTGTGTGTACGTGCGGTGTGTGTGTACGTGCGGTGTGGGTGTGTACGTGCGGGTGTGTGTGTACGGGCGGTGTGTGTGTGTACGTGGCGGTGTGTGTGTACGTGCGGTGTGTGTGTGTACGTGCGGGTGTGGGGGGTGGTAGCGGTGGCGTGTGTGTGTGGTAACGTGCGGTGTGGGTGGTGTACGTGCGAGTGTGTGTGTGTACGTGCGGGGTGTGTGTGTGGACTGTACGTGCGGGTGTGTGTGGTGTACGTGCGGGGTGTGTGTGTACGTGCGTTAGTGTCCCACAGGTGCACGGTGGTGTGTGTACGTTGCGGTGGGTGTGTGTGTACGGGCGGTGTGGTGTGTGTACGTGCGGTGTGTGTGTACGTGCGGTGTGTGTGTGTACGTGCGAGGTGTGTGTGTGTACGTGCGGTGTGTGTGTGTACGTGCGGGTGTGTGTGAAAGTGCGGTGTTGGTGTACTGGCGGTGTGGGTGTGTGTACGGCGGGGTGATGTGTGTACGTGCGGGTGTGTGTGGGTGTACGTGGCGGTGGGTGTGTGTTTACGTGCGGGGTGTGTGTGGTACGTGCGGTGGTATGTGATGTACGTGCGGGGTGTGGTGTGTGTGTACGTGCGGTGTGTGTGTACGTGCGGTGTGTGTGTGTACGTGGGGTGTGTGTACGTGCGGTGTGTGTGTGTACGTGCGGTGTGTGTGTGCGGTGTGTGTGTGTGTGTACGTGCGGTGTGTGTGGTACGTGCGGTGTGTGTGTGTACGTGCGGTGTGTGTGTACGTGCGGTGTGTGTGTGTACGTGCGGTGTGTGTGTACGTGCGGGTGTGTGTGTACGTGCGGGGTGTGTGTGTACGTGCGGTGTGTGTGTGTACGTGCGGGGTGTGTGTGTACGTGCGGTGTGGTGTGTGTACGTGCGGTGTGTGTGTACGTGCGGTGTGTGTGTACGTGCGCGGTGTGTGTGTGTACGTGCGGTGTGTGTGTGTACGTGCGGGGTGTGTGTGTACGTGCGGTGTGTGTGTGTACGGCGGTGTGTGTGTGTACGTGCGGTGTGTGTGTGTACGTGCGGTGTGTGTGTGTACGTGCGGTGTGTGTGTACGTGCGGTGTTGTGTGTACGTGCGGTGTGTGTGTACGTGCGGTGTGTGTGTACGTGCGTGTGAGTGTGTGTACGTGCGGTGTGTGTGTGTACGTGCGGTGTGTTGTGTACGTGCGGTGTGTGGTGTACGTGCGGTGGTGTGTGTACGTGCGGTGGGTGTGTGTACGTGCGCGGTGGTGTGTGTACGTGCGCGGTGTGTGTGTGTACGTGCGGTGTGTGTGTACGTGCGGGGTGTGTGTACGTGCGGTGTGTGTGTGTACGTTCGGTGTGTGTGTGTACGTGCGGTGTGTGTGTACGTGCGGTGAGTGTGTGTACGTGCGGTGAGTGTGTGTGTACGTGCGGTGTGTGTGTGTACGTGCGGTGTGTGTGTGTACGTGCGGTGTGTGTGTGTACGTGCGGTGTGTGTGTACGTGCGGTGTGTGCCCACGTGTTCCACAGCTCGGGTGAGACTTCACGATGGCGACCGACCGAACGCGATATTTGGCGACGATTCGGACCTCTACATCACCTTCAACGGACACATGGTGCAACCGCTACCGTCATAGACACCACACCACGTGACACACACACACCACGTGACACACAACACACCACGTGACACACACGTCACGCACACACACACACACCACGTGACATACACACACCACGTGACACACACACACCACGTGACACACACACACCACGTGACACACACGTCACGTGACACAAACACACCACGTGACACACACACCACGTGACACACACACACCACGTGACACACACACCACGTGACACACACACCACGTGACACACACACACCACGTGACACACACACACCACGTGACACACACACACCACGTGCCACACACGTCACGCACACACACACACACCACGTGACCACACACACCACGTGACACACACACCACGTGACACACACACACCACGTGACACACACACCACGTGACACAAACACACCACGTGACACACACACCACGTGACCACCACACACACCACGTGACACACACACCACGTGACACACACACCACGTGACACACACACACCACGTGACATACACACACCACGTGACATACACACACCACGTGACATACACACACCACGTGACATACACACACCACGTGACACACACACACCACGTGACACACACACACCACGTGACATACACACACCACGTGACACACACACCACGTGACACACACACACCACGTGACACATACACACCACGTGACACACACACCACGTGACACACACACACCACGTGACACAAACACACACCACGTGACACACACGTCATGCACACACGCACCACGTGACTGACACACACACCGCGTGACACACACACACACACACCACGTGACACACACACACCACGTGATAACAACAACACACGCCATACGCATCACGGCAAACCCCTAGGCCCCACTGCGTTTCCCGACAGGGATAAAAAATGAAGGGACGCACGAAAGAAATCCGCGGTCGTCCAACGGGAGAGAAATATATTAATCAGCTCAACAAAGCATCAACAACAACCAACAACAACAACCAGTGGGGCGTGGTGGAACAGTCGGAGCGCGTCGTTGACATCCGCGTTCCGCTGAGCCGAGTGAACGCGCCAAGAGACGCGGCACTCGCAAAGCCTCAAGCCGCCAGCGGTGTCCCTCTCTCATCGTCATCATCATCACGGTGGCTCGGAGATGTTGACTACCTCGCCTGGTCTACAGGAGGTCGTGGGTTCCATCCCTGCCCTGATGCCTGCTGTACATGTGGAGTCTGCGTCTATCATCATCATCACGGTGGCTAGATGTTGACTACCTCGCCTGGTACACAGGAGGTCGTGGGTTCCATCCCGACCCTGACGCCTGCTGCTGTATATTTGGAGTTTGCGTCTCTCTCATCATCATCACGGTGGCTAGGAGATGTTGACTACCTCGCCTGGTGTACAGGAGGTCGCGGGTTCCATCCCGACCCTGACAACGCCTGCTGCTGTATATTTGGAGTTTGCGTCTCTCTCATCATCATCACGGTGGCTAGGAGATGTTGACTACCTCGCCCGGTACGCAGGAGGTCGTGGGTTCGATCCCGACCCTGACGACGCCTGCTGCTGTATATTTGGAGTTTGCGGTGTCTCTCTCCTCGTGGTTGCGTGGATTTTTTTCGGGGTCCTCCGGTTTTCCCCCTCCACGTTTAGAATCGACAACGCCACCACGCGGTTTCCGAGTATTTGACGTCCGCTGCTACAAATCCCCACGTGATGATGATGGTGATGATGATGGTGGTGATGGTGGTGATGATGGTGGTGATGGTGGTGATGATGATGATGATGGTGGTGATGATTATGATGGTGATGATGGTGATGATGATGGTGATGATGGTGGTAGTGATGGTGATGATGGTGATCATGGTGA